TCTCCTGCTAGATATAATATCATGTATACTAAAACCTCATAGTTCGTGAAATTTGAGAGATTATTTATGTAAATAGTGCATTGAAATGAATCCACCTGAAAAGATGATTCAACACATCACTATCACTGTATAAAAGTATTGAACGAAAGTACGGTATCTTGTTATCTTCAATTGTCAATTCAGTGTTGTACATATGATTCTAGTGAGAAAAAAAAACACATTTAAAACAGATTGTTTAAAATGATGATACAATTGAAATGTCTGGCATTTGACTAATTTCAATATTGTTTTCAATAACAGCAATGAGCATAACACTAGTCAGTCGCCACAAGCGGACTTTAAATATATAATAAAGTCAAATTTTCCACGAATGGCGTCATTGTCAATTTTACTACTTAGAAAAAGGAAATCAAAAATCTTCATTAATAGTATGAACTTTATTATTAGGCCAAAATTTGATTGATCCGGAGTATCACATATAATTTTGCATTGTCTTTTGTATAGGTTCCTTTATAATTTAATCAATATTCTTCATGTGTTTTTATGTATGAGCTGTTGTACATATTCACATATGAGATTACTATCATCTCATCATACCTCAATGTTTAAGGTAATGATAGAAATTATTTATTCCACAATATTTCAAGTGATTTCTTCATTTAATTACCTATTGTCTTACTCTCTCTTTTCCCCTCTCTCTCTCTGTCTCTCTCAGTCCAACTAAGTATATCTGTTTATTTTTAATTTTTTGTTCTATTACTACAGAAAGGAGCTGGTTATCATTTAGATTTACTTGTTGTTGCTGTTACTATATTAAGTAATTCAATTCTTGGAATTCCATGGTTTGTTGCAGCCACTGTCTTATCGATTAATCATGTTTTATCACTGAAAAAAGAATCAGAAACAAATGCTCCTGGTGAACGACCAGTTTATTTAGGTTGTAGGTAAGTTTCGTTTTTTTTTCGTACATGGAATGGATATCTATTATGCAGCATACGCATCTATGTTAATTGATCATGTGTACCATACTAAGTAAATGATAGTGTGATGTGAGACGTACTTATAAGTAGTATATGACGTGAGTGTAGACGTAATGTCTGGGCAGCATAATATGGGGGAGATAAAGAAATGAAGAGTTAGAAGAAACACAATGGAATTTGTATGAAACGCATGAATAGTGACAATGATTGATGTTTGGCAACAGGAACAGTCCAGTTCGATAGGATGATGGACTGATATTTTGCAAACTAACGATTTACGATATGGTTTTCCAATTTTACTGAGTAACTCGTTAATTTTCGTTAAATACAATCCGGTTGGCCCCACCTGTGTTCTGCGTTCACTACAAATAGTAGTTATTTTAATTCATGATAAAATTTCTAATAATGAAAGAGCGATGCATAAATAACTATTGATGAGACTACCAAATGAAGAATTAGTTTTGATAATTTTACTCTACTAATTAGTGTAGACACTTGAGATGTTATATTATTCTTTCACTCATCTGTTTCTAATCTTGATCGTTTGATTTATAATGAAATTGTCATATGTCTTAGTATTTTGGATCATTAATTCAATATTCCCTCCACAAGTCCATTTTCGTATCAAATATGATCAAGTTATGTCAGTCAGTCAGTCGGTTGCAACGTAGAACATCGTATGTGCATACGTACATAAGTTCATGTTGTCATACCACATTAGCACAGAGACGCAAATGTCAAATCAGATGCCATAGTGATAAAAATAGTAGAGGTATTAATGGTAATGAAGAAGACTAGGGTTTGAAGATATTATTCAAGAAGTATAATTCAGTGAGATAAGGTTAGAAAGACAAAGGTAGAGGTGCTGACGAATCCAGACGATTAGGATTTGAGAGAGCACTTTGTGAGTAGTGTCCAACACGCATGCACACTTAATATGTATCTAGTGAGGTTAGGGTGAGGTGTGAAATTTTTAGGGTCGACCTTTTCTAACCCTTCCTTCCTTGTGAGAAGGCAGCATCGCTGCACATGCTGGTTGTCAGAGGGAAACATCTTACTGCTGTCACACCCCTCTGCAGTCAGCAGTACGACTTCGCCCTCAGACCTCGGGTAGCTGCTTTTAGTCTCATCGTTCTCCAATCGACCTGCCTGGCATGGTAGAACCTTTAGGAACATATGTTCCAGCCAATATAGCTCGGTTGGGTCATCACGATAGTCAAGCCCGACCACCACGTCAAGGTAGCAGCTTCGGTAGGGATCAAGTTATGTGTGTTTCTGTGTGATGTGGTAAAACAGTTCAAATAGATCGTGATGTGAGTTTTAAGTTGGAATTAAATTAAGTACACTCAATAACTGATCAGCAATCTATCTTGTTTTGTGATTAGATACTGGGTTAAAATTACTTTGAGGATTAATCGGTTAACGTTAATGTTTTGGGTGCTGTTCCATTGATCAGTGTTTGGATTCGTAATTGAAAAGGTTATATCTGTCTTATTGACAATATCATCAAACTAATCGATAATCGGACAAGAGACAGAGATATCATACTATTCCTTTCTTGTCATTATGGTCCTAATCACACAGTGAACCTAATGTAACACAAATAATGTTTACGTTTCAACATCACACTTAACCTTGAGACTGAAAATATGAATAATCACCTACTACTCTTGGTATTTCATTCCAAACGGTTGAACAATGTTCCTGTTTGTTATTTACAAAAATAAACTAAATGAATTGAAGTCAGTTACATAATTATTTATTCAAGTTATTTACTAGATACATATTAAATGTACATATGTGTTGGACGCTACTCACAAAGTGGTTTTAAGTAGTATGCAGCTAACCGTCACCCAGAAGTGGCTATGAGAGAGTGGAGTGTCTAGATTTCGAAATGCATGGCACAATCACTATGTATTGAAGATCAATCTTTTGAATTACAACCAATAATTGTAGATAAATGACGTCATTGTTTAAAGTTATACCTATCAACCAATTAGTTTTCGGATTATAATTGGTAATGTGTGTACTAGTGCATTTTAACTCTGTAGCATTGACGGATATAGGCTAACATTGGAATTCAGAATAAGTGTTTCGTCCTATTCGGTAATTAATTTTCACCTCATCGCACAAGCGAGTGGCTGTCTGGAATCAGTAGCCAAGAGGATAACGCGATAGCATTTGAAAAGAATGGTACTATGTTCCAGTCCCGGAGTGAACATCAACTCTTAGATGCAAGTACATCCAGTTATAGACGAGTCCTCAGTAGGACGAAACGCATTTCCTTGATTCCTCTGCTAATAATAATTCTTATAATTATAATGGCTATATCGAGGCAATCCTTTTAAGATGCACATATTCCAAAAAGATGGATCAATGGTACGATTCAAACAACCAATACAAATGAATTTTTAGTTTCGAGCCACGACAAAGTTGTACGAGGTATACTATCTAGGAGTCTCCTAAGAAAATAAACCAATCTTTTCAGAATCTCCAAATGTCAATAGTACCGTAATTACGTTCACAGTATGATGATGAATACCATCAAAATGATTAACGAATCCATGAATGTTTTGCAAATAAATCTGCTGTCTTTCAAAAATAACTTAATTTCAACAGATGATTGAATTCTTTTAATGAAGTCAATGAAACGATAACTGTTGATTGTAAACTTGTATTTTTAGTGTACGTACAAAAACAGGACTCGTACAAAGCATTTTTTTAAGAATCTGATTACATTAACGGCTCACAGTTATCACGAACTTATCTTAGTAGAACAACCATTGGAAACCAGGAAAAAAAACTGTTCAGCTGACACATCTTGATATGTGTAACTCTTCAGTCGTACCAGTCGTTGACATCTATAACCCTATCACAATGAATCGATGAACACACAAAACTTTCAACTGTCCAATACTTGTCGATTTACAATGGTTATTCATTCATCTAAGATTTATTTATGAGAGAGAAAGGTAGCCTAGATTACACAACCTGCATCTCCTCTATTTTACATATTACATCATTTTAATGATGGTATTATTACCATTCCTGTTTCCTTTTCTCCCCTTTTTGCTTCCTTCTAGAGAACAACGTGTTACTGGAGTATTGATTTTCTTATTTATTGGTTTATCAGTGTTCATGACTCCTTTATTATCAGTAAGTTATTTAATTTAACAAAATATATAACCATTGTGTCTCTCTGATAATGTCACATGGCAACTTGAACTGATTTACACCTACGTACGAAGTTCTACGTCGTAACACTGACTATTAAATATAATATTGTATATTACTTGTAGTTTGAAGTATAAACTATTTATTGTTAACTCAGTGCATCGGAAGATTGTATACTTTTATTTCCCAAATCGGATTGATATTTTTGGATACGATAGCCCCCTGATAAGGTTGTGGATGCATAATACCATCAAGGTATTCAATCTTCGCCTAAAGACTATTAATTTGTTCATGTAAATTTGAAAAATCAATAATCTTTACAAATCCACCTGATACTACTACCTGACAAATTTGTGACGATTTAATTGAAATTTTCAAATGAACATCTCCATCTTGAATTATTGATTTTAATCATTGTGTTGAAATAATCACATGGATTCAAACTGAATAATTCTTATCTCAGTCCAATGTTCAATAATTTTGGTTGTAATATAACTTTTTACTGGCCATTTTTCCAATTGCAAATTGATGTCTATGTGATAGCGCTGCTAATCATTGACAACATTGAGGTAGTGTAAAGCATGCTATTATCAGTTAGTGTACAGGAGATTTGCTTATTTTTTCTGATTTCGCTGTACAATTTTTTTGTTCTTCTAATGAATTCATATTGTTTTGAAGAATCATTTAGTTTAGCATTATCATTATACACAGTTGTGAAGATTGTTGAGTTTCATTGAAATGATGACTAGCTTCGCGAGAAGCTGTGACTAATGGAGTTCAACCCTGTCGAGTGTAGGCAGTAACCTGCCGAAGATAATGGGTGTGTTTGCATAAAACCTTAGATTGATCATAGTTAGACATTTACACCGTCGAATGTTGGCTGAGTGGTCAATATTTTACGCGTTCGCACGCGAAGCCGAGTGCCTTGGGTTCGGTTCCCGTGAGCCTTGATCATGGATGCGCACTGCTGTAGAGTCTCATACTAGGATGAAAGGTCCGTCGTTCAGTGTTTCTAGGTTTCTTATGGTGATCTAGCAATGATCGATTCATCATTACAAAGTTTATGAGAATAATCGGATTATTTTGATTGTAATCTTTACAAAAACGTAGTTGTGAATTGCATTCATCTCCCATTTATATCATTGCGAAGATACAGGAATTACTGAATATCTGTTTTTATTAAAAACACCAACGACCCAGCCGGGGCTTGAAATCAGAAACTTTAAGTATTATGGTCCGCGAGATGATAATAATCGATAGCTAGAGACCTTGAATGACATGGCTCAAAATCGTTCGCAATGGCTCCAGTGCATTTATTCTTTGTGTTCTCTCAAATCCCAATCTTCTGGGTTCTTCAACAACTCTAGTTTTGACTTTCTAAACTTATCTCACTGAATCATACTTCGTGAATAATATCTTCTAATCCTAACCTCTCCGATTACTTCTAATACCTTTACTACCTCTTCTACTATTGGATTTGAATTGACAATTATATCTCTGTGCTGATGTGGTATGGCAACATGAACTGATGTACTTACGTACGAAGTTCTACGTTGCAACTGACTGACTGACTGAGCGTTTATTCATTAGAACCACTGGGTTATTACTGATGCCACGATAACATCTTCAATGAACTTTTGATGATCATACAATATCATTGGTGTTGACTCTCGACATGTTAGAACTTCATTACCCAAAACTTGTCACTTGAACTTCAGGAATATCATGAAGTAACTCACTAATGAGCTGATAGTTATAGTTTATTTGCCGTAGGTTTCAAAGAGATCGCC